TAATATCCATGTTTATGTTTCTTTTATTGTACTTAGCCTAACGTGTCTATAATTCTTATGGTAACTTTCAAACTCTGTATATTTTTAATGATTAATTGTTGTTTCCAGTAACCTTGTTTAGTTTTAATACTTTGAAATTTGCGCTCTATTGATTTAATTTAGGCTAGTAACTATGCCTTATAAAATTCATATTTTGATTATTAATTGTATCGTAAATTTATATTGTGATTTTGTATTGTAAATTTATATTTGGTAATTTTATGACTATTGTAAATTCACTTTGATGATTATATTGCTGTTCAGATGTGTTAGGCTTAGTTTAATTTGTTATGAAAATCAAACTTAAATAAAAAATAACTGTTGGTATGTAAAAGTAATTTTTAATTTTGAGAAAAAAGAGTGAATATTTTATTTGTAAAAAAAAATGTAATTTTTTCTTTTTAAAAGAGGGAGATGTCATAATATGTTCTTTTATATATATCATGTTAGTTTTATATCATTCGACCAGACTGTACTCTTGTTGTTGTACTTGGACTGTACTGAGTTTGAACTGTACCGTTAGACCTAGATTGAGTGCTCGGTCACTTCTAATAAACCCATGCCAACGATAACATGTTTTATCATTTAACGAACCTCGACCTGCGATCCATATCACACCAAGGCAAAAATGTGGTTCGGATTCCACAATAAACTGTAGGTCCCTTAGTTGCCATTAGCTGTATGGGCTCTAAGGAATAAGTCGGTCTTAGTCACTAACAAGACTACAAGATCGCGCCACTCATTCCACACTCATTTCCATTCATACTTGGCTTAAAATACTCGCCATTTCATAAGCTCTTAATACTTGTAATGATTTGATAGAAAACTATACAATACTAAACAGGTGTTAGTTAGACAAACCTTTTATCGATGGAAGATCAGAGATTTTAATATTTCTTTCGTAAAAGTGGCTATTCTTGGAATAACACATCACGAGATTCCTTATATGCTTTGCGAATCACAAACAAATAATCCATGGTTAAAAATAATTTCTCATGGGGCAGGATCGCCGTTACCAGTGGCATAGCCTTATCCAGTATCCACTACACCTACCTTCAACTGTTTTTCATTTGTCTTATTAGAGTTGAAGCAAACTTCATCCCAAGTTAATTGAATATTGTTTTTAAAATGTTAAAATGTATTTTACATTAAGGTGGAACTATATCGAATGCCCTTTTCAACATGCATGAACATTGCTTTTTACATCTTTTACAAAAAAACTACTGTAATTATTGATTTTAAAATTTTATGGTGCAAGATGGACTCAAAAATTTTGTTTTATATTTATTATTTTAATACTCCTGGGATTTACATTTTTCCCTTCATCAGAAACTTTTAAAATTATTAAACTATTAAAGCTATGTCCAATAACATAACATTTGTAACAATTACATTTTCAACGTACCTAGCACGATTTCTTCTAATGTGAAAATAATCGCTAGTGACATACTGTACAATCTCATGACGATAAATTCAATTTACTGATCTTGGGGATAATCCAGAATGAAGCTTCTCCGCATAAGCTTCTTAGTAACTTCTCTTGTGGTGTTCATTTGCCGCTTTGACTAACCAAGTAAGTCACATAAGTGAAGAAGAGGATAATTACATCGCCTTATCATTAACATGCTAGTATATAAGATTTAACTTAGCGTCAAATTTAATTTTATGCTAGAGAACAATTTCAGTTGTTACCAAGACCAGATATTTAAACTTTCACAGTTCATATGGTTTGGACCTCTAGAGTACATTTAAAACGTAAACAAATTTAATGATCACTATTAGACCTACAGAAGCATTAGTTAACCACAGGAATCAACAGAACGTCACATACAAACAGTTGAATCATGCAGGCCTTCAATGTAGATTTAATTCAACCAACTTTTAGTTAAAAATATAAATCTCAACTCCATTGTTTTCAAAATAGTTTAAATGTAAATCTACAAAATCTGATATCGACATGATTATAGGCCTACTAACCAATTTTAATAGCCCCTGTTGTGTTGCAAAATGTTTCAGAAACTCTTTTCAGTTGATCACGTAAAATGTACAGACATTAATCAAATATGACATTAATATTGATGTTGTATATTATGACCTTTGATATCTATTTCAACCTAAATTATATCAGTTTCAACCGGAATTCTTTGTACTATAATTATGTCTAGACATAGTCCAGATAATGTATATGTTGCAGTGTGTACTGACGCAGATGGTGCTCCATAACTCACATTACACACACATTAACTCGGTCAGCCCGTCAATGGTGGAATTACGGTTAACCTTGTGACAAGAACGTTTGACTCCAACACATATTCATAAATACTTTTTTACATTAGCAAATACGTATAGGATACCTTTTTTATAAAACTAACATCAGTTTTAAATACTGTACTACACAGAGATTCTTTGTGGAGGAAACATTTCTAAAAGAATCGTAAAAGTGAATATTCGTTTCCGCTGACTGACTCTCAGCGACGAATTATCATGTACTTGCAAAACGGAACTTGTTATCAGGTACTAGTTAAGCCTTTGTACAAGAAGTATTTATGGGCTCTATTATGTTGTAATGATACTTATTATACTTGGTTTATTTAGCCATCATCAGTCACACAAGAAGGACCCTTGTTATCAGTTTTGACCTATTTGTGCAAGAAGAAAAGTAGACAACAGGAAGAAGGGGAAGGAGGTGTACACATGGTGAATCAATAAAATAATACAAGATGTAAATGAGTCTGTAGGGAAATATTTTATAGACTTTGTGACTTAACTGATCACCGAAATATAAATCGGATTCGTCTTTTGTTTTTAATACTTGACACACCTACTTTTCAGAAAATATGCATTTAACTTGTAAGTTATATAGCTTACAACAATAAAACCCGGCTACACATAACAACATGTTCAAATATATAATTTATTTGCCCATTCATGTTCAAACAAGTGTAAAATTTATTTTAGATTGTGCAAAATTATCGCATGGGTTAAACGAGCTAGGCTATAATAATTTCAATGTTATAAAATTGAGAGAGAACCCTCCACAATGCATAACACGATGTACACAATATGATTGTTATTGAACATTATAAGGTTATCTTCATGGATAGGCTTCCATGGTCGTCACTTATATCTATACAGTCTTCGTCTTCGGGGTTCGACCGCGTCCTTTGGTTATGTACACTATGTACAGAAACTACCGACGTTTCGGCCACATAACAGCAGCCATCTTCAGGGTTGCATTTTAAATGTTATTATTTACTCTATAAATATTTTTTATAGGATAACACATGAAGGAATATTATGATTACAAGTTGGGACTTTCCTTCGTTAAATGAAGGTTCAATATATTTCGAAGAAACCTGAGGGAATCTTACATACTATTTTATTTTTTAAGTCTGGTCGGAATAATTCGTAATCCAAGGGTCAAGCGTCAGAGGTAATTACCCACAGTTACACGAGATTACATAAAAATTTCTTAAAGGAAACTTTATTGGATGAAATAATGTCTGTTAAGTTACATTCTCTAAGAGGAGTTCAAAGTCTTGAATCATAATTAGTATCAATGGGTTATAAAGACTCATTAAGGAATGGACAATATTATTTTTCCTGTCTTAAGGCATTGAATTAATTATCTAGATGAATAAATACTTGATATAACAGTAGCCTTCTGAAAAGTCTTACGTCATAATTATTCTCTGTTTAATTGGCTTTTCCAAAGATTTATCTTGTCAACAAATAGCTATGGCGAATTGTTTCTACTTTAACTTGTCAAACGAAAAACTGAAATAAACAGTTAATGGATCAAGATAGTTTAAGATAAACCTAAGAGTTATTCCGTGTATTTAATTCCTTTGTAAAATAAAAAGAACTATGCCCATTCGTATCAAAATTAGAGTGATTTAACCATGCATAATCGTAAATCGAATTTATTACCGGTAACTTGAATGATGTTGATTGAAACATAATATGTAAAGACTAATAATTTACATCAGGCATCGAGGCTATTACAAATATGTTGTTCTGTTATTTAAAGTCTACGGGTATTAACATTATTGTGGTTTCTTTATTTAAAAAATTACTATGTTAAAAGTAAAACATGTGTAGTTCAATAAGTGTTAAATGTTTGTGAGTAATTTTTAGCAACCGAAGGACCATTTAAAAATACCTGTACAATTATATTGTGAGTAGAGAGTTCCATGCTGAGACGTTGCTGCGAAGTGAGGGCCCTCAATCAGTCTGGTAGTCTTCATGGTGTGGCGGACGAGGTGTTGAGATGATCACAATAATTACACTGAATTTAGAGGAATAAACTATAAAAGAGTAAAAGAGTTAAAAGGAGAATATTAGAGCGTTGAGAGAATGACGTGGTCACTACCATGTCCAAGGCACATCTACCCGACGCTGCTCACTATCTAGCCGGTCGGGGGAGGGGAACATCCCGATCAAAGTTCAATTCTACAGGTGAGCGTATTGAAAATGAAAACTCAAAGGATTGGATTGCTTACAATAAAATAAAATCTTTACCTTGATTCTAATAACTCTAGTAAAAACAAAAAAATCTATAATTTGTTTGGTTACAGAAATATAAAATAAAATACCCTGCAATGTGCAAATAAAAACCTTTTTAAACCTTACATATTGTAATTAAATATCCAACATACCCCCACCCGTGAACCACAATGGGGTTCACAAAAGAACAAAAAAAACTTAACATTTTACAAGAGGTGGAGGATGATGAAGACTTGAAACTACTCTTCAATTGGGAAGGGAGACACCTTAGTGACAGCCCTTGTTAGAGGTCCTTTGTTGGTATGAAGATGTACAACCCGAACGAGTCCGTCAGGTCCAGGGGAAGTTGCGGTGACACGGCCTGTCCTCCATGAGAGGGGAGGAGAATTTTCTTCGTGGATTAATACAAGATCACCTTCCTTTATATTTACTTGGGGAAGTGTCCATTTTCCTCTTCACTGCAGGGTATGGAGATAGTCTTTCTGCCACCCCTTCCAGAAATGTTGAGACATAGCTTGGACAAGCTGCCATCTTGAGAGTCTATTGCTTCGAACTTCTTCCCATGTGGGCTCAGGAAGTGCAAGTAGAGGGCTTCCAATGAGGAAGTGTCCTGGTGTGAGGTAATCAACTTCAGCAGGGTCTGAGGAGAGGGCAGTGATGGGCCTAGAGTTGAGTATTGCTTCTATCTTTGTAGATAAGGTGAGGAATTCTTCAAAGTTGAGGAGTTGTTCTCCAATAACACGTCGTAAGTGGTATTTGACGCTTCGTACGGTTCTCTCCCATATTCCTCCCTGGTGAGGTGCTGCTGGAGGTATAAAGTTAAACTTTATATGATTTTCATTTCCAAACTTATTTAATGCTTTCTTAGTCTCATCCTGTTGTAGAAATGACTGAATGTGTTGTAGTTCTGCTGCTGCCCCGACATAATTCGTTCCACAGTCTGAAAAAATATTTGAGCAAAGACCTCTTCGTGATACAAAACAAGTCAAGGTTGCAATAAAGGCTTCTGAAGTCAAGCTGCTAACTACTTTAAGATGAACAGCTTTGACAGCTAGGCATATGAAGATACACAAGTACATCTTTACAGGGCTAGTTTTGCGCAAATTGTTTGGCTTAACCAAAAACGGCCCCATGAAGTCAGTTCCACAGTTAAAGAAAACTTTAGAAGGAGTAACTCTAACTGGAGGGAGATCGCCCATCTTCTGCGAAGTTAGAGTAGGCCGACAACGGAAGCAACGTACACATTTAAATATTCTACTCTTGATTACACTTCTTGCTGAAAGGATCCAAAACCTTTGAGAGATTATGCCCTGGAGAAATTGTGGTCCAGCATGTAAATATTTCAAGTGATAATAATCAATAATAATGTTAGTTATATGGTGTGACTTAGGCAAGATGATTGGGTACTTTGCTGCATATAATGTTGAGTGTTGAATGCGACCTCCAACCCTGAGGAGTCCAGAATCATCAATGAAGGGTGAGAGATGCTTTAGACGGGACGTTACTAGTTTTCCTGACTTGAGACGTGCAATGTCTTCTTGAAACACTGACAATTGAAGTATCTTGCATATTTGGACGGATGCATTATTCAGTTCTTCTAACTGTAGGGATCTTGATTCTTTCTTCTTCAGACGAGTATTTTTGATGAATCTAAAAACATAAGATAACACTCTCAACAATTTGCTCCATGAGGAGAACTTGGAGAAAATGTCCAATTCATTGACAGCTATCAAAACATTCAAAGGTTCAGACCTGAGTTCAGGCAACTCTTCATTCTTCATAATTTTAAATGAGGAGACCGGCCATTCAGTTGTAGGATTTGACAGCCATGGTGGTCCATACCACCACAATTTGTGGTTTACTAGACAGGACGGTAAGAGGCCTCGACTAGCGCAGTCTGCGGGATTGTAGTGTGTAGAAATGTGAGACCACATGTGTGGTGGAACTAAATCTTGAATTTGAGATATCCGGTTAGCTACATAGACCTTTAACCTAAAAGGGGGGGAGTGTATCCAAGATAATACAACCGTTGAGTCTGTCCAAGCGAAAATTGAGTTGATTTCACATTTTTGAGAGATTAGGTTGGAAGTAGTTCAACAATTCCGCCAGCAGATGTGCTCCACAAAGCTCCAGGCGCGGAATGGATATCCTTTTGAGAGGAGCTACACGTGATTTGGCGATAAGCAAGGACACTCTGATATTATTATCTGCTGAGACAGTTCGGATGTAGACAACAGCACTATAACCTGCTTCGGAACCATCTGAGAAACCGTGTAACTGTACATCTACGGCATCATGCAGGTGTACATATCGAGGTATGAAAATATTTCTCAGTTGAGGGAGTTGGTCATAAAACTTGTTCCATTTTTCTGCAACATCAGTAGGAATGGGTTCATCCCATTTCAGTCCTAGAGTCCAAAGAAGTTGTAAGAGGGCTTTGGTCCAGAAGATGGTAGGAGCAAGATATCCACAAGGGTCAAAAATTTGAGCAACGGCTGAGAGGATGTTTCGCTTGGTAAGGGGCTTCTCCGGGATATCAAGCCTGTAAGAAAAGTGATCATTCTCTGACTCCCATTTTATGCCTAAGATACTGTAGAAAGGATTATCTGGACCTTGGAAATACATAGGCTTTTCCTTGTAAGATTCAGGTATGTCGCTTATTAGTTCGGGTCGGTTACAAACCCACTTTCTCAAATCAAAACCACCTTTTGACAGAAGATCAATAATTTCTTTCTGCGTAGTTCGAGCTTCATCTGGTGAGTTGGCTCCAAATATTAAATCATCAACGTAAACCTGTTTTTCCATCACTTTGGAAGCCAATGGATAGTTTTGACCTTCATCTAGGACAAGTTGTTTCAATGTTCGTATTGCCAAAAATGGGGAGCTCACAAAGCCGAAAACAACAGTTGTTAATCGATAGATACTCATGGGGAGCGATGAATCCTTCCTCCAGTAGAGAAGCTGAAAGTTTTGATCTTCAGGGTGCATTTTAATCTGTCTAAACATTTGCTTGATGTCACAGGACATTACAATAGGATGTAGTCTGAAATTAATAAGAATGTCACAAATTTTATTTTGCAGCTTTGGCCCAGATAATAACGTCTGGTTGAGAGAAATCCCTGTAGAGGAGGGGGCGCTAGCATCGAAGACAACTCTGAGCTTTGTAGACGATGATTCATTTTTAACTACAGCATGATGGGGCAAGAAAAAATGTTGAGATTCATCAAGTCTGTCCTGGGTCACTATCTCCATGTGACCAGATTCCATATAATCATTCATACATTTCACATAACTGCTTTTAGTTCAGGATTTGCGTTTAAGCGTTTTTCCAGTGAAAGAAATCTACGTTTTGCATTTTCTGAGGAGTTGCCTAGGGGAGCGGGTGCCTCCTTGAAGGGTAGTCGGACCGTGTAGCGACCTTTAGAGTCTCTGGAATGGTGAGCTAAAAACAACTGTTCACATAGATCATCTTCAGGAGAGGGTTTTATTTTTAGCGGAGGTTCTTCTAACAGCCAAAATCGTTGTAGGGAACGATGCAGATCAACTTCATGAGTGGTGAGTAAAGATACAGTCCCCTCCTTACATGGGGTTCTTTCTAGGGGAGCGGGTCCTACAATTAGATAACCAAACACAGAGTTCATTGCCATAGGCATGTTGTCTCCAAATGTCACGTGATCCTCCGTTACAATCCTACAAAACAAGTCAGCTCCTAACAACATATCCACAGAGCTTGGTAGGTCAAAAGTAGGGTCTGCTAGAACTAGGTGCTTCAACTTATTCGTGAACGCTGCTGATATTCGAGCTTGAGGAAGATCCGAAGTTATCCTATCCAATATAACCACAGGATGGTTCTTCACTATGTCTGTACCATTGAGAGAAGAGATATTTACCTTTGAAGCACCTTTGGTACTGATGTGAGAGGAAGAGAGGCCATCTACATCACTATCTCCATTATGCCATCTATTTAAGGACAAGAGATTAGCTGCATTTTCAGTCAAACATGAAATCATAGAGCCAGAGTCTAGTACAGCTCTTAAAACCAGAGAATGGCCATCTTTGTTACTAACATACACAAGGGTAGTGCCTAATAGTACTGTTGAAGACTTGACAACATTACTTTGAGAAAACACAACCACTGGATGTTTTTCCTTATCTGAGGCTGACACTGAGAGATTTGTGTCAACTACATTCCTTTTCACTTGCTGAGAGGGAATGGGGGATAGCGTACTGGTTGGTGTGGAGCGATTTGATAAATGCAGCCATGAGTGGTGTTTCTTACCGCAATGAAAGCATGAACGTTTTGATTTACAATCATTTGAGCTGTGAGCTGTGCCAAGACAATTGAAACAGAATTGTTTCTTTTTTATGAACTCAAATTTAGAGGAGGGAGTCATAGCTTGAAAGTCAGTACACCTATAGATCACATGACCACTTTTGTTACAAAAAGCACACCTGGGATTCTGAGGTAACCCGGGGGCAGATAGCAGAACTGTACGAGGCTTATTAGTTACCTTAGAATAATCAGAGTTTGATTTGACATTAGAGTGGGAGGCAGAGGATATCCTTAGACTAGAAAGATTAGCAGCTTCCATATGAGTACATTCATCTTCTAAAAATGACATGATTTCTTCTACTGAGGGGATTTTCTGACTGTCTTCTCTACCATCCTCAAATTTTTTGCGTAGCTCTCCATCTAGCTTGCGCAACAACATAGTAGACAAGATTATATTGTTTTTTCTTACCTCATGTTTAAGAGCTTCCAAAGCCTGAGTGTTTTCCTGAAACTTAGATAAAAAGGTTCTGATGGCTTTACTATTACCACTAGTTATGTTAGAGAGGTCAATTAGGTTATTAACATAATGAATGATCATTCTCCTGTTATTTTGATACCTATTTTTTTGCAACTCCCAGGCGACCATGTAATTCTCTGCTGTAATTGGCAGATTTTTAATCAAATTCAATGGTTCCCCTTCAAGAGAGGTAATCAAATACTGGAACTTTTCAGTATCATTTAATTTATCATTTTTGTGAATAGAAGCTTCAAACAAACCTTGAAATGACAACCATTGGTCGGGTAACCCACTAAACGCTTTTAAAGTGAGCGGAGGTAACTTTAGAGTCTTAGAAGGCGAAGTATTTGCATGAGCAGGAGTAGAAGTGGACTCCTTCTGATATGGTTTCACAATCACTTTAATCTGAATAAATAAGTCACTGATATCATCCTGAACTTTCTCAACTGCCTCAGCATCAAAGTCAGGTATAGAATCAGTAGAAGTCAAGCGAGTAATATATTTATCAAACTCTGAGTACCTGATGCTTGCTTCTTCAGCATATTGCTCCAATTCCTCAAGAGCATCACTCCCTATATCTTCAGATACCAAAGTGGAGACACGATCCTTAATTTTCTTAAGGCGATTCAGAATTAATTTGCTCTGTCGTTCAAAGGTAGTGAACTTCATCTTGCAGGTTACCCTGAATCTTAATTAAGAGATAAAATCCAATTACAAACCAGTAAATAATTCAAATATTTCTTAATAAGGAGATTAATATCAAAACAAATTCCTTGTAAGCAGAAGAGGAAAAAAGTACAATATAAATAACCCTTTTTTTAAACAAACCTATAAATCAAAAAATGCTCTGACCTATTCAATATCCAGTAGGCCTAGGCTCCTATTTCAGTTTCCATCAAAGTGTAGGCTACCCACTACAATACCTATATACACTTGGATATATTACAATCTTAAACTCTCAATAATTAGCGCCAAAAAAATCTTTAAACTAAATTATTATTTCAATTTTTAGCAAAAATGGGTGAATTAATCAAATATTGTAGGCTATATGAGTCAAAATATCAAATACAGTAAGTTACTGCACAATATTAATATATAGATATTAAAATCAATAAAATTTCAAAATTGTACCCTAGACTACAGAGCTTAAACAATTAATTAGCTTAGCTTCTCCAATAGATCTCCAATAGGACTATCTCAATAACACTCTCAAACGTAAAGAAAATTCTATTTAAAATGAATGAAGTCTCAAAATATCCTTATAGTGCAGAAAATTGATAGTTAAATACCACTTGGGATACGTTGAGTTAGGCCTATGCCTGCTTAAAACATCAACAACAATAATTACAAGTTTCTTATGTTAAAAAAGGAATTAAAATAATATAAAATATCAAAGAATCTCAGAGTTCCTTTTTAAACAATAAATTGAGAAAATAATCAATATTTTTCCAGCTCTAGGTTTTGTTGGTAAAACACTATTTACTTACCAAAATTATTCAAAGGAGCCAAACAAATTATTTCAAAGACAAGTTGAAGACGATTTTCAATAACAAAATTATTTTACAAATTAATTGAGGAATATCAAATTAAGGATATTATTTTCAATGTATGATTCAACAACAAACTATAAATCCTAGAATAAAAACTACAATCCAATCCTTTACACCAACATTCACGAGTGAGGTTATGTTATTGTTTATAACTCATTGACATTGACAAACTGACAGAGTGACAGAGTCAAAATTGCACAGTTGCAGCCACCTTAGATTGCAGACTACACCAGCGCTCCCAACGGCGAAAAATGTTTGTACTTGAGTGAGTGAGAGGGAAGACAGCTGGTTTCCGCTCCAACATGAACAAGTACAATACAGTCTGGGAATTTCCCCGCTTATCAGCAACTTGTACAGTCCTGAATGATTCTTGAATATTCTAGAGTAGTAATTTTCACTTCTAACGATTGAAATAAAAATGATCTTTTTTAACGATCACACTAAAATGGCTGACAAACAACTTTCTCGGCAAAGTTTGAGAAGTAAAATAATTACTGTTCACTGTAATAAAAACTTATTGAACGTATTTTACACACGATAGCAAAATAAAAATGTCAATTTTTCCAAGCGTTGGTTCAAAATAAAATATCTTCCGGCACGTAGGACCAAATTTTAAATGTTAGTGAGTAATTTTTAGCAACCGAAGGACCATTTAAAAATACCTGTACAATTATATTGTGAGTAGAGAGTTCCATGCTGAGACGTTGCTGCGAAGTGAGGGCCCTCAATCAGTCTGGTAGTCTTCATGGTGTGGCGGACGAGGTGTTGAGATGATCACAATAATTACACTGAATTTAGAGGAATAAACTATAAAAGAGTAAAAGAGTTAAAAGGAGAATATTAGAGCGTTGAGAGAATGACGTGGTCACTACCATGTCCAAGGCACATCTACCCGACGCTGCTCACTATCTAGCCGGTCGGGGGAGGGGAACATCCCGATCAAAGTTCAATTCTACAGGTGAGCGTATTGAAAATGAAAACTCAAAGGATTGGATTGCTTACAATAAAATAAAATCTTTACCTTGATTCTAATAACTCTAGTAAAAACAAAAAAATCTATAATTTGTTTGGTTACAGAAATATAAAATAAAATACCCTGCAATGTGCAAATAAAAACCTTTTTAAACCTTACATATTGTAATTAAATATCCAACAATAAGGTTTGGTTAGAAATCGAATATTCATTAAATTCCTTCGTACTAAATCGAAGGTGTTTTAAATTCAGCATTAAAAAGCGATCAGCGTTTGGAAAGCAATTCGATTCAAATCATCATCCCTTACAATGACAACAACTTTATAGCCTAGGTATATTATTTTATTATCTTATTTCGTCAACAGACGCTGTCGTTGGTAACATACTTAAGGTATGGCGTTGAATGAATTACCTAAATGCTTTGATTTAATAGCTTCTTCTCTTACTTCTCCTACTGTAATGCTTATACTCGTATAATGACGTATTTATACTTAGTTTTACCCTGGTCCTGCATCCCTAACCACTTTGCATTTGACGGTAAAGTCGAAATCCTAGCTGTTAGACGTCGTTTGCAGCACAAATCTCTATAATAAATAATAAATATAACTTTTCTCAGTTAAACCATGATGGATGATGAGGACTAGATAAAACACAACTTTTACGTGTTTTCATTGACAATTCCCAAAAATGTGTACCATTCGTAAGCTATGCTCCATGCCAAATGATTATTGTTCGTAATTTATTTTTATTTACAAAGCCATTTATTTAATATAAATTTCGTGCAACACAATTCAATAATACCACAATTGCATTCAATGCCATCTGCAATCTCAACATCTGCAAAGCCTAACAATCAAAGATGAAACACGAAGGTGCAAGTCTGGGCACCCTGCAGGCTTTATGTCATATACATCACACAGTATTGATCTAACACAAGTTAGTGCAAGACCAGGTGATACAGCTGATCCAAGCAAATTAGTTGGGTGAAATGTGTAGAATGAAATCCGACAAAACAAAATCAAAGGGATTATTTGAGAGAAGATGAGGAAGTGTTTGATATGCTATATATATGAGTTATTATAGTAGTTCGAGAAAGGTCCCTAATATATCGGCACATATAAAATACTGTTCATATAGTTCACTGAAATATAACGTACAGATTCACAGTATAACCATATTGAGTTAAGGATTTTGAGGAGTTTCATCATTCAACTTCTCAAAATTGTTGCACAGTTTGTCAATAACACTCTGAACGCGACCCTGCCACAGTTGGACAACGATAAACTAGGACAGATTAAGTTTCCAGGTTTTACGTTTGCATACAACGTCAAACTGGGACACTTTTGAAAGTGTCCGGTTCTTCATGTCGTGCAACGCCAACTCAGGACAGTTTTAACATGTGTCCGGGATCGTAGTTTGCGTGCAACAAACTGGGACAAATTTGAATTTTTCCGGGTTCACCGTTGTCTGAATTCATCGTTTTCAGACTTAAGCGGTGTCTAATTTTATCGTTGTCCGAGTTTATTGTTGTTCAACTTTGTCATCGTCCTCTCTGTAAGTAATAAGTATAAAGAAAATTGTGTTTGTATAACCTTTATAAAGGTCTACTCAACTTGGGCATAATTGTGCCTACAACATTATTTTGAATATGTTTTCTCTGAGGTGATAGAGTGTAGGGGCGCTGGCGACCCGGCTTATCGAACTCGTAAATTAAGGGGTCATTAGAGTGTCGAGGCGAGTGGAGAAGACTACCTGACATAAGCCTATTCTCCCCAACAGTACTATACCGGGTATTTTGCTGGGAGAAAGGGGTGGTCGAGTAAAGAGGGGCGGGAGAAGGAGAGAGAGGGTGAGGAGAGTGTCTGTGGCGAGAGGAGAACAACACGAGAGCGTGGCCGTGTGTTGTATGCACTACAAGTAGATGCAAAGTAGTTTCTAAACAGAAAACAGAGCTTCCAAGAAAGTATCTATTGATTGGCGTTTGACAATCAATACTAATGCTATAATTATCGAACATTTTTTTCGAACATATGTGTAGCCTATGAGGCGTATACAGTATATACAAAAATATTCTTACCTACAGTTGGATATTTTAGCTAGAAGCAGTTAAGGTGTGGTGGAATATCTTTGAAGATGAACCTATTGAGCTGTAGTGCGATCATGTGTTTTATGTGTCAAATTTTGAGGTTAAATCAAAACAAACAAACTGGCATGTTGGCAATCAATAATTAAGCATTTAGAGGCCCGGTTGTATTACGGTATTACTTACGAAAGAATTGCCATTAAAGATCAAATGAAATGATTTAGTATATTTCATTGTTTAATTTATAAGAAAAAAATCTGTTTTTAGGCTACTGCATTTTATAAACCAAACTCGAATCTTGCTTCCTTGGCCTATTGTACAATGTTATCCTGTTTGTATGAGGTGAACTTATATGATTAGTGATTGCATTAATGAATTATCAGCAATACAATTAGCTGTTAATTGTAATTTAAATGGGTCAAACCGTGAGTCTATAAAGGTTCATCTCGTCATCTCAAGAGTATTTAATTCTGATATCTAACATGAAATCCAAAAGGCGAGTTTATATTTAGATGTTAAGATATTTCAAAACTAAACGTAAATCACCATTACTGTATGTCCCAACAGTTATTTTATGTGTATCCCAGTCACAGCAACCATATTATTCTATTAATATAATGATCGAAATTAATTAACTTATGCAAGAAGATTCAATATTTTAATACTAACTAATATAATTAACTATTATCAAAGCAACCATCACCTATAATTTGGAGAAAATAATTAAGTATCAACTTATTCATTAGCTGATTTGGAGTTAGGAATCACTTCTCTATTTCACAGTAAATATTCTATATATTGCCAAGTAGTTATATAAAAGTAGGCTAGAGTAAGTTTAAAGTATATTTAACTATTGTCAATTCCAAGAATTATTATGTCAGTTTTTTTTTTTACTTAACCTCAAAATTTGACAGGTCTGAACACATGATCACACTACTGCCAAATAGGTTCATCTTCAAAGACATTCCACCTTAACTGCTTCCAGCTAAAAAATCCAAATGTACTTGTTATAGGACTTTATTAAAGAACATGGGCAGCATTAGTGTATTGGCAATCGAAACAT